AATTAATTTGATAACATACCTTGAATATATACAAATCTCCCGCTCATACTAGAGAAGTGGAAAGAAAGGAAATAAAAAGCAGTTTTCAGAGAGAAAATATAAATAGCCAAGACATACATGAGACAACACTCAGTCCCATTGACAATCAGGAAAATACAAAATAAAACAGAACAGTGAGTTTTATAAGGGAAGAAAAAGGAAACAGAATAATAGGGGGAAAAAGCTGATTGGTTAACATCAAATTACTTCAAGTTACTTTTTTTGTAAGAGTTAAAGCAGAGAGAATGTCCTTAATACTTGGACTCAGGTAGACTGGAGTCTCCTGTTTTCAAGAAAACTATTCTGTTTAGGGATTTATCTGCTTCCTTAAAAGCTTCAGTTTGATCATGTGGCATGAAATGGAGTCACTCCTGGGATCAAATAATTTGACTTTGTTACAATTGTTAAGAACAAACAAACAACAAAAGAATTGTCCCTCATTTGTCTTTGCTGCAGGCAATGGGCACAATACATGCCTTCTCTCCAGCTTTTAGAATTCCAGCCCTAATTAAGTAGCAGGTGCTTCTCAAAGCATCAGCCTTACCTGGGAACCCATTAGACATGCACATTCTCAGGGCTCCACCTTGGATCTACTGGATAAGAAACTCTGGGAAGGTTTTTGTGCTGTAATGATGCCTCCAGGTGATTCTGATTGAGCCTTAAATCTGAGAACTGCTGTGATAGCCTGATGCTTACGAAATGCTATGATGATTTAAGATGTACAAAAATGTATGAACAGCTTTCAAAATACCACATCTAGGTAAGCAGACTGCTTATCTACACGTATCTCTCAAAATGAAATACTATTTTTTTTTCTTTTTTAAGTACTGATGAGTCCTTCTAAGATGATTGGGTAGTAGAGGGGAAGAATGAATGAAACTAGCATTTATTCAATGTCTGGTATATGATCCGACACTGTCCTGAGTTTTTTCAGTTCCATGTATCTAATCTTCGCAAATAACCATGTGAAACAATGTCTTGATCTTATTTTAAAGATTAGGAACCTGAGGGACTGCACCTTACCCAAATGGCAGAGCTAGTTTGTTTGTTTTCCTTAGTCAAAACGCAAATGCTTAAAAAAAAACGTGGGAAATACAAGTGAGTGAAATAAACCCTACTGAAAATGAGAAAAGATACAAATATCATGGTAAAGGACAACTGATCCTCAGCATTGATTTTCAGAAAAAATAGAGTGAGGAATGACACATCTTTTAAAGACAGCACTGCTTTAAACAACTTGGAAGAAATGAAAAGCAGTTCATTTCTTCCAAGTTGTGGCCAAAATACTATGCACCCAATGTCGTCCGATTAGATTTTTTTTTTTTTGTCTCCCAGGGAAGCCTAAAATTAAGATTTGCACCTAAAATCTCCTGATTTTTTAATGATGGCATATAAAAGATGTCCATGAAAAGCATTTTGAATAACAAACTGAACACATCTGCTAGATTAGTTTGGCCAGATAGTGACCTCTGATATACTGTAATGTCAAAAACAGCTTGTTTGCCCCCAAACCTATTTCTTTCTGATGTCTATGCTGAATTCCAGCTAGATAAAAATAGTATGGAAGATCCCAACCCCTGGTATTTATTTTAGCATTTGTTCAGGCCAATGTGTCTAGCATTTTACCCCTTGGGGGAGAAATATAGACTTCTGTGTTTAACAAAGCTCACTAAACTCAGTATACCAGAGGTGGCGAGGCTACTGTCATGGGGCAGAACATCTCAGGGGATCCCCTCTTAAGTCCCTGCACCTTCAGGGCATTTGTACCGGGGTGAAGGTCTCCACACTGGCAGGACATAGACCTGTCTCCCTGTTAACCCTCAGGAGCAGCAATCAATATTTCTGTAATTACTAAGCCTCGTCTTTGGCATAGCTAAAAAGGTAATTCAGTTGTGTGCTAGTTCTGCAAACAGAGCTTTTCTAAATTCTTCTTTTTATCCTTCTTTACATATTTATTAGAAATTTTGGATGGATCCATGCAAACTGACTGAGAGTAACTGGCAGAATGAGCCCCACTGATGCCTGCTCTCCCCAGACTATCAAACCATCAGTGGAGATTGGACAGGTCCTGATGAAATAAATGTTGGCTGCTGACTCGTCCAATTTTGCTGCACTCCTTCGTGTCACTGGCACAGGCTTGTCCAAGACTGAGATATTTGCAAACTGTCATCTTTCATAAATATCTGCCTTGAGTGACACTTTCTCCCTCCAACACTTCTCTTTGAAATGCACCTGGCTGGCTCCTAGCCTGAGGAATTTCATTGCTTGTGATGGGTGACTAGCAGAAGGATGCTTCTTCCTCCCGGTGCCTGCCTCTTCTCTTTTACTCCCCTCTTCTCTTTCGCACCCTTCCTCACATCCACGATTCCATCCCTTCCTTCCCACCTTTGCTGGGGAAGGCTTGAGGTCATAGCTCTAAAATGCTAAAGACAGTGATTTTTTTCAGAGGTTTTATGAGCCTACTGCAAAAAATACTGTTACACAACTTGCCAAAATGACAATGATTAACAAACAACCAGAAGTTTGTCAAAGCTTTTCAAATGAGTTTAACCACCTCTTAACACATAATCCTCTAAAATCTCCAGGACGGATCTTGCAATGTTAATATGCTTACAGAAATGGATATGATGTTTTAAATGCCCTTTTGGCTCTAACCTCCAACAGTAATGGAAACAGCTATGTTCTAATGACAAAGTTAGTAACAGTATTCATTATAATTTCCATAGCTTTTTTTTTTCTTTTAGGACTGATGTAAGAGCCCCCTAAAGCAGCCAATACTGCCACTACACAAATGAATCAATATGCTTGCACATAAATGTTTGTAATTAATATAAGCACTGAGATATCAAATTCAAATCTCCAACTGGAAAAGGATCACTACATTAAATGGAATTACCCCTTATTTGAAATGAATATGTAGAGATTATAGGATAATCAGCATTCTCAATTCCTAATGTGTCTGATCAGATTTCCATGCATAATTTATCTAAAAGAGATTTAATATCCTAATGTAGGATTATTTTTATATATTTGGATGGAAGAAATTTTAATCAGTAAGATTAAGAGATTAAAAATCTCTATATTATATATAAATAATATAATTTTACATGTAAAACCTTTAACAACCTTATTTTTGCTGCAAATTTTTTCAATTTTTCAATCTAGTATCAGTTGAAAATTATTTTAAATCTAGCATTCAATGAATAAATTGTCTCTCTAGGTGATATGAAAATGTGTCATAGAATCAAAAAGGCAGTTGTGCTCAGTGTACGGACAGTATGTCTTAACATTTCTGATTTTCATTGCAAAGCTATCCCAAAAACAATGTGCTTAATGTAATGTAATATAATACAATGCTACACTATCCTATACTGTAATGTGACATGACAGTAATATGACATATATGCCGTTGGCTTGAATTTTCATTAGAATTTTTATGTGCTACATAAGATTTTTACTAAGATGATTAGCATGCAAGTTTTATAAGCTCATATAAGTCTAACAATATAGATTTTAAAATTCTTTTAAAAATTTTACAATATAATTATATATTAATTTTATGAGAGACACTATATTTTAATTACACTTGTTGACACGTTAGACAATGATGGATTTAGACTGAGCAATAGATAGAAACTTAGGGAGCCTTTCATTGCATCTTTGAAATACAGTTTAAGCATGCTACTGAATAAAAGCTGTGAACATAACTGGAGAAGAAAAGTTGACAAATTTAATTAATCTTCATATATCTCATTGGTTAAAGAGATGTTTTATCATGTTCAATTAAAATTTCCATAATAAAAGTTCATTTCTTCTCTGTTAATGCTATCTATATCAGATATAGCAAAAATGAGATCCCAACTATTCAGTTACTTTCACTGTCAGATTTTGGAATTTTGATCCTGTGCCAATCACTGAACAATCCTAAGCATTTTTACAAATTTTATCTCATGTATTCTTCACAATCACTTTGCAAGAAAGGTGAATGTTGTAATTCCCCTTTTGCAGATATTTACACTTGACTTGAGAGACAGTAACAAAAACTTTTCTCCAAAGGCAAGTGAGTACTTGTCTGGCTAGTGGTGGGCACCTAACCTGATTCTCCTGACCACACCTGTTTTTGTAATTCTCAACGTAGCTTGTTTCTCATTTTCTTTCAGGTAATTGGTCATCATTACTGTGCAAATTCAGCACAGTACAACAATCTAGAGTTCTAGCAATTGTGAACCTTGTGTAAACATAAAGTTTTTTGTTTTAAATTACATTTGAGGTAAAGCTTGTATAATTTTACCTCTTCAGGAATTTGTGCTTGAGATTTTTGATGACTCTAGAATACAATCTCTAGCTAAACCCAAAATAATGCAAGTCATAAGTATAATTTGTTTTTAATGCACTATAGGTGAACCATTGATGGTTATTTTCTGTTACTGGACATATATGATCAAAAGTGAGACCAGTATGATAATTTTGCATGGGTTGCTAGTGAACATTGAGAAAGGTATTTTTACCTGTACATTCTTCACAGACTCAAGGAGTATCAGAAAAGAGTCCAGTATTGATAACGAGATGACTATTTTCGACTTAGATAGCTTCTGAAATATTTCCAACTCTAACATCATCAATCTACAAGAGCTAGACTTGCAATTTTTGTTAATCAATCCTTTAATAAAACTTGCATTAATGTATCCTTTAAAGCATTTTCCAAGGATTCAGTTGAGTTTTTTACACTATTGATTTGGATTTCCAATAGACGTTTGTATACTTAAAATATTTAATCTCCATTTATTTTCCTGACTTGGAAGCACTAATAGATCCTGAAAAAGGGTGGAGCAAACTTCTGCCTTTACAGTAAATCAATAATAAACCCATTAAAGAGTTTTTTGGTTTTTTTTTTTTTTGGCTTTTGTGTCTTGTGATTTGATTCTGAAATTTTCTATATAATGATCATCTTTGTATCACAGTTGGAGTGTATATCAATTCAACGACTAATTTCCACCACCAGTGAGCCAAGTATTAAACACTACTTGAATATACCCTTCGGTTATCATCAACCTAATACATACGTATCAACTGCTTTCATTGGTGAGTTTTAATTAGTCATTTTGTAATCCTGTTGTTCAGTATTCTTGAAAGGCATTTAATTTACTTTTTACAACCTGGGCATTTTTATTAAACTTGAAAAGCCAAATGAAGAGAAAAACGTCTCTTTCAAATCAAAACAAGGTATTTTCTTATTTTTAAAGCACCTTATAAAAACACATTTGACAACATTAGTGATTGCAGAAAGGGCGATAATCTCATTAGCGGGTTAGATTGTATCTACTTGATTGACACTATTATTAAACTGATAGTTCTAAGATGACTTAAGGTGAGGTCACTATAATAATTTTGCATGGGTTGCTAGTGAATATTGAGTACAGTATTTTTGTCTCTACTGTCTTCATAGACTCAAGGAGTGAAGGCAGTAAAACCTCAAATATATTGCTGATGCATCGTTCCTTTCAAATGATGTTTGTCAACATTAATCATATTTACCTAAAACATTTATATAATAAGGAGCTTGTTTATTGACTAGTAACTCAAAGAACTGGAATCATTTGTTTGGGAAGAATATCTTCCCCACCTCTGTCACCCAAGAGAACAATGTGAGGGTTGGGTAGAAAATCTCAGTCCTGTGTCTAGCACTTTGGTTGACCCAGAGTAGATGCTTATTACATATTAGTTGACCCAAGAAACAAATGAATCAATTAAAAATGCACTGGAATTTCTGATTAATCAAAAAAAATTCTAGCTACCGTTCCATTTTAACTTTCAGTAGCATTTCAATTTCACTTTTGATTCATGGCCATGTTTATTTGTAGCGTATCTACTACATAAAAGGCTTATTTGCTGGCTGCGGTGACTCAAGCCTGTAATCCTAGTACTTTGGGAGGCCAAGGCTGGTGGATCACAAGGTCAGGAGTTCAAGACCAGCCTGGCTAACATAGTGAAACCCCATCTCTACTGAAAATACAAAAAATTAGCTGGGTATAGTGGCTGGCGCCTATAATCCCAGCTACCCAGGAGGCTGAGGTAGGAGAATAATGGCTTGAATCTGGGAAGCAGAGGTTGCAGCGAGTGAAGAAGGTGCCACTGCACTCCAGCCTGGGCAACAGGAGAAGACTCCATCTCCAAGGAAAAAAAAAGGGCTTCTCACTATGTGTAATAGGAGACATAAGAATACATAAAACAGTTTTTGACCTCAAGGAGCTTACAGAATAGCATTTTTTTTTCTTTCATAGGATTTAGTTAATCTTGAAAATAGCTCACATTCTACTGCAAAAAACATAGCAGTTGTAATTGCAGGATAGAGATTCTGGACATATGAGTTTGCAGCATGTTTCTTTTGTGAGTTCACTGCTATCAAATAGAACATTAGATATTTACTTTGAAGCAAGAGCCTTCGATGCATTGCCCACATTTGAAAATTTTATTTGCATATGGGGCTGCCTGGCTTCCAATGGCCAGATGGATCCTGAGTACATGCCAAGTAATGTTTTGGGCCCATGAAATTCATTAGTACTATTACTTTTGGCATGAGTTAAGGAAAAAAATATCACTGCCCCCTAAGTAAACATAATCTCCTGCCTTTTTCTGGCTTTCTAAGCCACCCATATAAAGTTTTGAGTGTCCTGTCTGAATGAATGGGGGGACCCAATGAACTCCAAGGTCACTCCCTGCTTCACATTTCAAGACACAAATGCCTCCATATGCATTCATTGTTTAACTTATTTTGCTTGCATAAAACTGCAGGTATACTCCTCTTTCCTTCCTCTCTCTCTCCTAATTGTACTCTGTACACTGATGTTGGCTTTGATGTGAATAGGTCACTTTATTAAGGTTGAACTCATGTCATTGTTCAAAAACATGCACTCCTAGCTCTATATTAGTACAATTATGTGCCCCAAATTTGTCTCTGTATATGTAGAGGTACTTTAAAATCTGAACACCACTTCCTCCACAGACAAACACAGATGTACACAAAGACACCCATGTATTCCATTTCTCCTCTGAGTTAATCAAATGTAAAGGGTTTGTTAGGAACTAAATTCAACATTATGAGAGAAATTTCTGGCCCTTGGTATACCAAAAAAGACTGCTCATTCACAGGAAATGTAGAATGAGTCCCCAGAAATTAAATTTCAAGCAACAGTTCAGCCATTATCATTGTTAGTCTTGAACCTTTGTTTCATGTTTCCTTTGTATTCTTCCTGGGCTGTTTTCTCACTTGTGATGAAAATAAACATAAAAACAAGGAATACAGATATAATGTAATATTTTTCTAATGTTTTCAATTAAGCAGCAGCTGCTGTTACCAAGCTGTCATCTCTGTTGCTAAGGGGGTTTTGTGTGTGTGTGTTGGTGCAGGACTGGTAACTTCAATATACTCAGCCCATTGCCAGGGCTGTTATGAAGTACCTCTGCTAATATTGTTAATCTAATAGGGGCCTAGAAGTAGCATTATTTTTTTTTTCTATTAAATCTACCTGTGGTTGATAGCTCATCTTTATCTGAAACTAGTTAAGATCCTGATGAGTCAGATGAGAGTTCTAGGACAAAGAGAATCCAAGAGTTAAATAAGAATTTTTTGTTTGTTTTTTTTTGAGATTGAGTCTCACTCTGTTACCCAGGCTGGAGTGCAGTGGAGTGATCTCAGCTCATTGCAATCTCCACCTCCCAGGTTTAAGTGATTCTCGTGCCTCAGCCTCCCCAGTAGCTGGAGCTACAGTCATGAACCACCATGGCCAGCTCACTTTTAATTTTCAGTGGAGATGAGGTTTCACCATGTTGGCCAGGCTGGTCTCAAACTCCTTACCTCAGGTGATCTGCCTGCCTTGGCTCCCAAAGTTCTGGGATTACATGAGCCACTGCATCCGACCTAGAGTTAAGAATCTTATTGGCAATTTGTGACTCACTGAATCAGCTGTGCTTCCTCATTTTTCCCAGTATAACTGAACATGTTTTAGGTAACAAAAGTAAAGTCTCCCACCACACAATGCATGGTCAGCTATCACTTCATGCACACAGGGCCACCCTGCGGTAATGAACAGCTCAGAGGACAGACTAAATTCAAGAGCTAAACCCCATAGATCCAGCTCCTGGCATCAAGTCTAGCATAACAGAAGTATTAGAAGAGTCTTTGCTGAAGGAAAGGACCCATTCAATGAGTATCTTCTTATTACCCAGTCTTTCAGAGTCTTTGAAATGGAGGGTACAGGAATTTCCTGCCATCTTCAAGCCTTTGCTTCCTCATCTAGAACTGTAAAATCCTAAGTAGAAAATTGCTGCATTCATGAGAAGGTAGACTTACTCCTTTGACCTGGCTTAGTTTATCTTCAGATCCCACAGTATATCTCAAACTCTGCAAAGGAATATTTCCTGCATATTCTACAATGATGTGAATCTCCTCCCACACTTGAGGATGTTACTCAAATATTTTGGCTGTAATATATTTGACCTGGTCTAGTCTACCTTTTGCTGAACTAATCAACTAAGCTAAGACTTCCAATAAACTAATAGGAAAATTAGCATGATAGATTTCTGCACTTGCTACCTTTTTGTGACCAGGTTGCCTTCTCATTGAGAACAGGAATTATATCTTAGACGTTTCTTTCTATGCCTGTGTTCTTACATACAATAAACATGCTTATTTTGAGAGATTAGAGAAGAGATTCCAAAAGCTCATCTTACACCATCTGCCCCATCTTTATCTGTCGTCACAGCCGTTAATATTACTCTAGGTTTTGAAACCTTTTAAGAAATAGTTCCTGTGCATTTTGAAGTTTTCTTTCTGTTTCGAAGTTCTTGAAGACCTAATATAATTTTATCCTCAGAACAAATCTTGTGCCTTTAAGTGTGTTTTTTTGTTTGTTTTTGAGATGGGGTCTCGATATGTTGCTCAGGCTGGTCTTGAAGTCCTGGGCTCAAGCAATCCTCCTGAGTAGCTGAGATTATAAGCATGTGGCACCACACCCAGCTCTTGTGGACAAATGGCTTACTGATGTTGTGGGAGCTAGAACTTAGGGTTCCTGATCATGCAGTGGGCTGTGAGTGAAAAATAAACCTTTGTTGTGGTAAAGCACTTTTCTGGGACTGTGTGTTTCTGAAGTATAAACTATTCCTTCCCCTAACTAATATAGCTTTCTTTCCACTACGCTATTTTGTTGTTTCTTCATAATATTTGTATATCTTTAGTTTGTTTTGTTTTTTGTTTTTGTTTTTGAGATGGAGTCTCTCACTGTCACCCAGGCTTGAGTGCAGTGGTGTGATCTCTGCTCACTGCAACCTCTGCCTCCAAGGTTCATGTGATTCTCCTGCCTCAGCCTCCCAAGTAGCTGAGATTACAGATGCCTGCCATCATGCCTAGCTAATTTTTTGTATTTTTAGTAGAGGTGAAGTTTCACTGTTTTGGCCAGGCTGCTCTTGAACTCCTGACCTTGTGATCTACCTGCCTTGGACTCCCAAAGTGCTGGGATTACAGGTGTGAGCCACTGCACCCAGCCTGTATCTTTAGTTTTATAGCCCCATGTCTTCCATGTATTTACTGCCATCCTCGCCTGGGAAGTATATGATCGTTAAGAATAATGATCACTTAAAAATATTTCTGTACTAACTAAAGGTAAATAGGTATTATTGGACAAAACTCCTCTATTATGTTTTGTACCTTTCAAATATATACAAATATATAATATGTGTATGTTTCATTTATAAGCTTCATTCTCTCTGTTCTCTTTCAATGCAATAGAGTGAATTTGGAAATAAGAGAAATAGAGGCCAAGTATGGTGGCTCATGCCTGTACTACTAGGACTTTGGGAGGTGAAAGCTGGAGGATTCCTTGAGGCCAGAAGTTCAAGACAAACCTGTAAAACATAGTGAGACCCCCATCTTCATAAAAAATTAAAAAAAAAAAAAGTTAGGCTTGGTGGTGTGTGACTGTGGTCCCACCTACAGGGGAGGCTGAGGCTTGAGCCCAGGAGTTCTAGGCTGCAGTGACCTATGATCATGCCACTGAACTCCAACCTGGAAGGCAGGGGAAGAACCT